TCAGGAGCAGCAATGCTGGCTCTGAGCTGGACACACGTGGGCTCACACACAGGACACATGCAGGATAGTCACCTGTCCCGTCTGGAGTTGAGCACACGTAGGTGGGCAGCATTTTCACCGTCGCCTCCTCGTGCGTCTCCTTGCCCAGCCCTTTCTCCATCTCTATCCTCATCCTCTCCTTCACCTCCAGCAGCTGCTCGTGGCTCAGCTTGAAGGGCTCCAGGATCTTCTGCCGGGCCTTGTGCTGGGCGTCCAGCCTGTAGGCCACGGCCGTCACCATGGCCGCCCCTTTGCCGCTCCCGTCCTCCGAGCGGATGAACCGGATCTCGCAATCGGGCAGCAGCTTCCTCACTGTCTTGTGGAGGCGCCGGGCAAAGCTGCCAGAGGAAAAGGGTCCTGAGTGTGCCACCGTGGGCAGTGGCCCTCAGGGGACCCGCAGAGGTGCTCGGGGGGACGCTCGGAGATGCTCCGCTCCTGCTGTGCCCACCATCCCCGTGCCCACCATCCCCGTGCCCACCATCCCCGTGCCCACCGTCCCCCACTCACTGCGGGTGCTTCTTGTAGACGGAGCCGTCGACGCCCACGGTGGAGCGCAGGCGCTCCACGCCCTTGTTGTCCTTGATGCGGCGCAGCACGGCGGCCAGCGTGGCCCCGCACAGGCTGGCCGAGCGCGTCGACACGATCTGGCAGATGCGCAGCGTGGCCACGCAGTCCTCGTGCGACGGCTCCAGGCCCAGCTTGCTCAGGATCTCGTGGGCTTTCTGCAGCCCTTCCTTCTCCCTGGTGGGGGGCAAAGGAAGGGTTCACACCTGGGAGTCCGACCTCTGCCGTGTGACAGTCCGGATTTGTGCAGCAGGGGGTCCCTCCAGGGGTATCAGGAGGGGGGCTGGGACCCAGGAAACCTCACAGGTCCTACTTACTTCTCAATGGCAGAGACATATCTGGTCTCAAAGTGGCCGGTAGTGAGCAGGTCTGGTGTGAGCTTTCCCCCAAACAGCAGCCCTTCCTTGGTCATCTTCACCAGGATGAGTCTGACCAGCTCTCCCATGTACATCCCACTGATCATCTTCTCAAACCTGCCCGGGGGGAGGCACAAGATAGAATCATGGAACGGTTTGGGTTGGAAAAGCCCTCCAAGGTCATCATATCCAACCATTCCCCCAGCACTGCCAAGGCCAGCACTAACCCGTGTCCCCAGGTGCCACATCCACGTGGCTTTTGAGTCCCCTCAGAGATGGTGACACCACCTGGGCAGCACGTTCCACACCTGACCACCCTTTCAGAGAAGAAATTTCCCCTAATATCCATCCTAAACCCCCCAGTAAGATCCCCCCTGAGCCTCCTTTTCTCCAGGCTAAACAATGTGTGCGTTTGGCTGCGCGTGCCACAAGGTGGCCACAGGTTGACCTGAAAACCCGCTGGCAGCCTCCCAGTCCCAAATGGAATCTAGGTAATCCCGTCCCAGAGCAGCTTATCCCATCACTGAGAATATGAAGCCTTGTGGACACGACCATCATCCTGCAAGGACAACTCGTGGGCACCTGAAGGGGGTCGAGTCAGTTTGCAGAGTCCCCCCACACTGCCAGAACGGGAGATCTGTAGGATTGGGATGTGGACATTAGGTGGGGGTGTTTGCCTGGGCCGGCAGATGACTGGAGAAGGGAACAGTAATCAGCACGTTCCCGTGAACGGCTCAGGATGGACAGCCCCGATCCGTGACACAGCCCCTCTCCGCACCGGTGGCAGAGGACATGGTGACCCAGTTAGCCGGGATGACCTCCCCGCTCCCGGGAACGCCGGCGCAACGGGAGGACGGACAATGCCGAGCTAAACCACGAGCCCCAGCCCGAGCCAAGAATCTGCTCACAATTGTTTGCCAGGGTTGAGCGAGCCCATGTCGATCTCACGGTCGAACTCCGTCCGGATGTCGTTGAGGACGCCGTCGTCACCGAAGGCCCCCCACTCCATGTTGATGCACATCCGACCCTCGTCCCCTTCCACCAGGTCAATGTGCCTCATCTCCTCCATGTAGCAGGCGTTGGTACCGGTACCTGGGCCAAGCATGGGGGCACAGTGAGCGAGGACACTGCCTTGCCTTCATTCCTGTTATCCCTCATTCCCATTGTCACTCATTCCCATTGTCACTCATTCCCATTATCCCTCATTCCCACTTGGCCACAGCCCAATGCACCAAAGAAAGTGAAGAGGGAAGCAAACAGACATTGGGCAAAGTTGGTTTTCCAGCACTGGTATCCCCCCTCCGCCTTTTTTTTTTCCCCAAAAGACCCTGAAGCTTGCCAGGAACAGGATCTCCCTCTGGAGCTCCTGGAGGGATGGACCCGCTTGTTCTCACTCACCAACGATCAGGCCAACTTCACAGTTGTGGTCGTCATAGCCACAGGTCATCATGGTCCCCACAGTGTCGTTCACCACGGCCACGATGTCGATGTCAAAGTCCTGAGACGGTGGAAAGGAGAGAGGGTGACCCAACACGGACAAAACAGACCGAAACATCTCCATGGAGCCCAGGAACCCCATCCCAGGGATCTGTGTGCCCCCATCCCACTGCCCCAGGAGGTGACACACCCGCCCAGCCTCTTACCCCTCTTTTCTTGATGGACTTGCGCAGCATCGACACCACGTCCTTGCCCTCCACGCTGCTGCACTTGAACCCCTTTGTCCACGTCACGAGGATGCTCTGGGGGGAACAGCCAGAGGGAAGGTTCAGGGTGAGACCCCCACCCTGTGGGGGCTGCCAGAACAAGGGACACTCCCTGTGGGGGAGCTCCCCGTTATCAGCTCACCAGCTGCGCTATCAGCCCCCGTTTCCGTGTCAGATAAGGTTTATGGCAGTGAAACAACACGAGAGCTGCTCGTTGCTCCTCGGCAGGAGGGCAAGTGGTTCCTGTGACCAGATTTTATGGAACCCTGGGGCAAAACCTGTTCACAAGTCCATGGAATGCTCCTTGACCCACTCCTGAGGGGTGGGGGCCTTGGAATGCTCCTTGACCTGTCCCTGCAGGGTAGGGGGCTCGCAGCCCCCCATGGCCTGAGGCACCAGGTTTGTCTCCACTGCAGCCACCTGGCCGGGGACTGAGCTGAGCCTTGGGGAGAAGAAAAGGACTCAACTGCACTTGGAATCTCCAACACTATGGGCGCAGGCCCCTCGGTGAGGCTGACACCACCCCTGCCTCAGGGAGGGGGAAACTGAGGCATGAACAGACACAACCCCGACAAGGCCAGGGGGACAGAGACACTTCCTCCTGCAGCTGCTTCATTTTAATTTCTTTTTTTTACAGCCCCCTGTCTACCGGGAGGAAAGTGTTAATCCTCTTCTCCCTCAGTGCTTGTGCAGAGTGGCTCAGGCACAGCAGCCTTGCCCCACCGCGGCACCACCGGCAGGGAGGACGTGCTGGATCGCCAGCGCTCCATGGAGCCGCCCTCTTTCCATCCCACCGCCAAGCCGGGTGAGATAAGGGCAAGGAAAGCATCCCCCTCCCTCCCCGCCACGAGCCAGAGCCCTGCGAGGCGGTGGGTGGCAGGGAAGAGGCCACGTGCCTCGCTGGGCTCCGGGATGTTGAGTCTCCCAGCGAGGTCACGGCTCCGGCGGGGCGGGAGCGCCGGCGCGGCTGAGCGGAGCTGACAGCGCTCAGAGCCTGGAGCAGAGCGGGGGACCCCCCTCCCTGCACACAGGGGGATGGGGTGCTCAGCATGGCTGGGTGCCCTGGGCTGCTGCAGCTCTGGGAGAAGCTGATCTCCCATGGAAACATCATATCCCAGATCCCCACGATTCCGGGGGCGCATCCCCCGCTCCGTCAGCGCCCAGTCCTGCTGGCACACACGGTGACCCAGGAACTGCCCATCACAGGGGCCTCACTGGTGGGTAATGGATGAAAACCCCTCAAGACAAATTAGGTAAAATCCAGAAAATTCAGAAATCCAGAAGGCTCTGGGGAGACCACAGAGCCCCTTCCAGTGCCTAAAGGGACTCCAGGAGAGCAGGAGAGGGACTGGGGACAAGGGCCTGGAGTGACAGGACAAGGGGGAATGGCTTCACATTGACAGAGGGTGGCATAGATGGGATATCGAGAAAGAATTCCTCCCTGTGAGGGTGGGCAGGCCCTGGCACAGGTTGCCCAGAGAAGCTGTGGCTGCCCCTGGATCCCTGGAAGTGTCCAAGGACAGGTTGGACAGGGTTTGCAGCAAACTGGGACAGTGGAAAGTGTCCCTGCCCAAGGCAGGGGGTGGGGCTGGATGGTCTTTAAGGTCCCTTCCAGCCCAAACCATTCCATGATCCAGGGAAACCCTGGCCAAGATGTGTCTCAAACAGGAGACCCACCACGACTCACTCTCATCAAGCAGCTTTAAAAAAGGCACCTGGCACCTCATCCTTAGAAAACACTGATGTTCCTTTTAACAGGGGTTTTCTGGTGTGTTTGGAGAAGATGAGAAGCAACAGTGTTATTGGGAAGAGATGCCAAGCAGTGCATTCCCTGGAGGAATGTTCCCTCCTCTCTGTCCCTGACCGTGCAGCCACTGAGCCATTCCACCAGCAAAAGATATTCATAACAAAGAAGGGGCAGTGCTGTTCTTAACCTCCTCTCACCCAGAGCTTGGGAATGGCTTGGAATGAGAGATGTGCCCCTTCAGGAAAGGTCACATGACCCAAAATCAGCGAGACTAATTAAACACCTGAGCTAAATTGGTGTGGGACCCCTGGCGAGAGCTCAGCCCGTCCCACCACACCCCCTCACCCACCTCATCCAGCTTGGTCTGGTGGCAGGGGAAGGAGAAGGTGAACCCAAGGGGGAGTTTCTTGTCCTTGATGTTCAGCTTGTCCAGGAAGTTGGCCAAACACTCGGCGATGTGGTCGAAAAGCTGGAAAAAAGGGAAAGAGTGAGACCTTCCCATGGCGAGGGGATGAGTGGAAGCTGTGCCCACCTCCCTGCCCACCCTCACCCATCCCCACGCTGGCCGTCAGGAATTCCTGCTCCTGGCACGAGATCCACTGGGATCCTGCTGGGCCAGGCAGTGGGGGATGCCCAGCCCTGTTCCCACCCCAGGACACATTTAGGGGTCCCAGGGTGACCCTGGGGATGGGTGAGGAGGGGTTGGACTCACCTGCACCCCACTGCCCCGCATCAGCTCCTCGGGGATGGCGTAGATCTGGTTCTCCATCTCCACCTTCTGCAGCCCGTTGTCCGACACCTTCACCCTCAGCACACGAAAGTTGGTGCCACCAAGGTCCAGTGCCAGGAAATCCCCGTCCTCTGCAGGATAAGGACAGGGAAAACCAGTCAGCTTGGAGGGTCCTCACCCTGCCAGAGCCCCAAGGTGAGCAGCCGCCTCCCAGGTATGGGGATACTGTCCCATTTTTAAATATATTTCATTGTTTTAATTATTGTCATAACGTTTGGAATTTTATCAGAGCTGTGGCCTGACTCTCCTGTGCACCCCTGACACCCCTGTAGCTGATGGGGGTCAAAGCACTGTCATTGAGCTGGATATGGATGCCCTGGAGAGGCCAAACCCCACCAGCCCCATCCAGAAAGCCAACAGTGATCTCAGGGTAGAAGAGCTCCAGCCTCAGGCTCCATAAGCAATAAGGTAGCAGAGCCATTCCTGCCCCTACTGATGCTTGGTGGAAGCTCCTAAACCCCCTCCCAAGGGGTTAAACCCTGTGGCAACACCAGAGCTTGGCTAAACTTTTAATATATGGACATACCCCTGGTGCTCAGGCCGGGCTGGCCGGCCCAGGCCCCCCTCCCTGCCCTGCCCCAGGAATCCCGGGCACTCCTGGCATGTGGCTCCAAGGTGGACGCAGGAAACCAGGGAGGGAAGAACTCCAAAAGATCTTCTGGGGCTCATTGCTGCCTTCCCCAGGGTGGGGAGCTGGAACGTGGTTCCTCCAAGGGGAGCCCCAAGGCTGAGCCCAGAGTCTCCCCTCCCGTTTGTTTTCCAGGCAGCTCGCTGGGGTTTGGGACCCAGGCTGCGGGAAAAGCGCCCAGCTGGCTGTTTTAGTGGGGAGAGGGCCGGGGGAAAGCCCTCTATCAGCACTGTCAGAGCGCTGAATGCATTAAATGTGCTGTGCTGGCTCCCCCGGGCCGATCCCGGCGCCCCGGGGGCCGCTTTGTGCCGGCCGGTGCTGGTACAAAGGGGCCACAGTTGGGACAAAACCTGCGGGTCATTAGTATGCACACGCCAGCGGGGCCGCCGGCATCTCCAGTGACTCCAGCTGAAAAGGCAGCTCCGGGGCTCCAGCGGGCCTGGCGCCTTTCCTGGGGTCACCCTCCGGGGGCTCGGGGCTCGGGAATGGGCCACGGGACCCACTGGGAGCTGGAGCGGCTTTAGAGAGGCGGAAAAGGGCCGTGGAAAGCAGCCCCTGGAGCTCCGGGGAGACCAGGAATGAGAGGGCTCAGGGGTCATGGGCAGCTTCAGCAGGGTCAGAGCTGGGGATGGAGAACGGGGAGGATGGGGGAGCACTGGGGGGTCAGCACTTCACCCCAAGGGGGAACAGAACAACATCCAAGGGGGGTGAGAACACGGCCCCAGGAGGTCAGAAACACGTCCAAGGGGAGTCAGAACATCACCCAGGGGGTCAGAACAACGTCCAAGGGGAGTCAGAACATCACCCAGGGGAGTCAGAACATCACCCAGGGGGTCAAAACATCACCCAGAGGGGTCAGAACATCACCCAGGGGGTTGAAACATCACCC